AGAATTTAGCCACTAAACATTATCAAAAATAATTTAATAATATTTAGAGACATAATAAAAAAAATAAATTAAATAAATTAAAACCCCAAAACCGAATGAAGCCAAAACCGCCAAAAACTCCCCTCGGTTGTTTAGCTTTGCCGGTGCTGCGTGAATGGTGGTGCGGCAGTCGATGGTGAAGAGGTGGAGAAGATGGTGGCGTTCGGTGATGATGGGCTGCGTGGATGAAGAAGATGATGGTGCTGTTGCTGCTGGCTGCGTTGGTGGAGATAGAGGATGGTGATAATGGCTTCGGTGGTGAGATAGTGGCTGGTGCGTGCGGCGGTGAAGAGGAAGGCGGAGAAGAGGACGAAGGTGATGATGGTGAGCTCAGTGATGATGATGACGAAGAGAGAAGAGAGGTGAAGAAGGGCTGGTGCTGCGTGGTGGTTATGGAAGCAAAGCGGCGGTGATGATGCTGCCGGTGAAGGAGCTTTTGACGTGGAGTTTGGTGGTGGTCGGCGGTGATGGAGTTTTAACCGTAGGGTTTCGGTCAGTTTTCGGTCCAGTCCTGTTGTAAAAATAAATCCCTAATCCTCCTTTTATAGGCTTCTAGGTAAACCCTACTCCTTGAAGAACAAGAAAACTTGTTTCCCAAATCATATCGGGATTAAAATTCTTATCCAATTCCAATCCGAAATCAGCCGCATAACCATAAGCTTCTCGGCCAATTTTCCAAAAACAAGAATAAAATTCCAAAATTGCATCATTGGCCCTCCAATTCTCTAAACTCATTAATTTCTTCCCCATCAATTGCTCCAATCTTCAATTCTTTCCCATTGAGTTGCTTTTAATTCGATTTTGGCTCAAAACTTCAACAATTCTTCATTTGAGTACAATTCCTACAATTAAAGACAAAATCACATAAATAGCATATTTGTACTCAAAATATATTGCAAAAATCACAAATTAGGGATATAATAAATAGGTAAAATATAAGCATATCAGTAGAGTGTATATATTCCAGCAATTTTCGTATTTTTATTTTGGACACAAACATCATGAAAATAATAAATTAACCCCCTTTATATTCTACAATGGCACCCTTAAGTTACTTATTTTATTTTCGATCTCATAAGATCCCTAATCAATTTCAATAACGTCCCTAAAAATATTTTTTAGAATTTTAATTGAACAGAAAAGTTAATAATTATTAATCTTGTAAATATGATCTTTTACTACAAAAACATATTTTACAATAATTAGTCGATATATTAAATGCTATATACTTTTTGAAGATAAACTGCTATATACTTCGTTATCCTTCATTGCACACTTTGCTCTATATTTTCAAAATAGATCACTTTTATAAATAACATTGATACCATTTATAAGAATGAACAATATAATAAATAATAAACCTTGAATCGTCGAATTGACAAGACTAGTACCGCTTCATACCAAACTTACGAATAAGCGTGTATAACGTTATAAATTTTATAGCACATAGTTTATTTTGTTACACCTTTTCTTTTACAACTATTAAGTCGTTATGTAGAGATAATTATAAAGTAAGAATATAGAATGTAAGAACACTATCATTGACCCCACCCTATAAAAAATTTATTATAAACATATAATTGCAAGAATTGGAATCTACTTGTAATTTAGCAAAATGGTATAGTGGGCCCATTTGTGTTTTTCAAACATTTTGTGACCAATCTTTAGGCTTGAAATGTTCCTACGTGAAATTCATAGGTGTATTTTTTTTCTTTTTTATAATTTGCACAAGTATTTTTATGCAACACATTTTGAATCTAATAGTATATGTGTATAGTAATTGTATTCAAATCCTTAAATATCTAACAAACTAATTAGATTTACCAAATATATTGAGTTTTAATTTTTTCCTAAGTAAAGTAAGAAAAAATTACTACATGTTCTTTTGCCATATAAAAGTACAAAGTGTACCAAAGTATAACAATATTAACTATTATTTGATTTTAATTGTTTAATACAAAAACTGTGAAGGATAAGACAATATAATGTAGCATTGTAATTGTATAACAAAAAATTATGAAGTTTAGTGCTTTTGCAAAAAAAAAAAAAACAAAAAGAATAAATAATAATAATAATAATAATAATAATAATAATAATAATAATAATAAATCATAGATTGAGTCTCTCTATAAGTATATTGGTGGGACCGCACATAAGTACAAATTCTTTAAATTTAGTTGACCAACAAATCTAGTCACCAGAATTAGGAGGGAAATTTTTCACAGATTCTTCTCCAATATGAAAAATTAGAGACCAAACCTTTTCTTGGTCATTATCTTGGTCACTATTTGCAGCCACCTGTTCTTTTCACTACGTTATTGACGAATTTGGAGATGGTCATTGTCATTAAGTTTGTTTGTGGACCAAATTTTGCTGACCAAGCCAAAAAGTTGATCACGAAAGGTTATTTTCGTGACTAGAATTTAAATGGTCAATAAAAAGGTTGATCACTGAAGCCCTTTTTTTGTAGTGCAATTAAGACCTAATGTCTCAAGAAATAGATGCTGATTTCTTTTTGAAATTGGGAGATCGATGGCTTGAAGATGTTGGGTTTTCGGCTAATCAATTTGTGGGAGCTGTTGAAGTGTTCGTGTTGGCAAAGAACAATTCATTGATTCCCGGGATTTCTGTGAGTTGACGAATCAGTTATGGCAGAATATTGAAAAAAAGGCAACCCATCTCTCTCAGATTAGGAGGCATTCTGAAAAGTGTGTTTGTAGAAATTGCTTTTCAGTCCCAGTTTAGAAGTTTTGTTGCATTGATTCAGAAATTCAATAGCCTGTCATCATCAGAAGAGGAGAATGATAAAGCCTCCTCCAGGTAAGATTTCCCTTCGGATTTCCTCTGTTTTGTTCTCCCCCTTCCCTCCTCCTGTGATTCATCCCGAATGGAAGATGGGTCGGAATTCGGCTTCTGATGTGATTTTCATGGAAAATTTGTTTTTTCGTGTCTTACATCAGGTAAAAGAGCTCAGGATTATAGGTCTTTGTGGGTTGAGTGGGTGATTCTAGTACTACTCTGGCTCAACAAGTTTATTGAAACTCCTCGGTAAGCCGACATTTCGATTGTGTTCAGGGACGGACCTAGCTAAGAACCCGCAGGGTCGACGGAGAAACTCCTGGTAGGTATTTCCGGTTGCGTCTTTGATGTGCCGTCCTTTGAACACCGCCCCTGCAGATTTGAGGAAGAAGTGTATAATACCGATGAAAAAGAAGACTTCAACCCTTTTAGGCTGGAATTCTTTCTAATATATAAAGCCCAAACATTGTTTGGCGTACTTTTGTTTGCAAAAATTATATGAGTATACCTTGAATACAACCCAATATCAGTTAGTCCGCATATTAAAAGCCTATTTATTTTAACAACCGTTTCATTTCTTTCTTAATGTCTTCATATTTTAACTATTTTTTTACTTTTAAAAAATTTGCTCGATACACCTTCCAAAATCGCCCCACAGTGTTGGAGGGTTGGGTCCGTCACTGATTGTATTGCCTGAGTGCTAGAAGGTTTTTTGCTTGTCCTGGAGGATGTAAGGGATCTGGATGAAACCACTTGATGATCGTTTTCATAAACCTCTTTCGTAACCCAAAACATGAGGGAATCCAAACTGAAACTATGTCCACATTTACCAGCTCCTCTCATGTTTTCAGCGGGCTTTCCAACATTGGAAATCGTGCATTTGGTACTATCTGGCTCGTCCTGTTTTTCTTGGTGAAAGAAATCATCAGACGGATCATAATCAGAAACATAAACACTTGAACCTGCGAAGATCAAAAGTTTAATACTCCTTTTATTCTAAGTTGAATAAAAGATTCAAACCCCGTGAGTCAAAAACCATCATTTACACTGCGGGCGAAAAACACTACCTTTTAGCTCAAAATCGGATCCCTGAGCAGAAGATTCATGAAAACTTCGAGAACTTTGCAGGGTGGGCTTATATGATCCTGTGCTAAACAGAAGTGAAATTCGGAATGTTCTGATTCATCACAACCATTAAACGTATATATGTTCAACAATGAAGTAAAAATCAGGATACTATTACGTCAAAAATGAGGATAGTATTTGCAAATACATTTCCGGGTGCATATTGATTACTGTAGCAGCAAAGATGGTCAGTACTCTTGGAGACCCATATAATCCCACATGTAATTTCACCTCAAAACCAATTGATAATGAGCGGAGTAGCACATGAGATATATATGTTGATCAAACACGCTTTCCAATTCCAATGTGAGACAAGTATCTTTCACTTGTTTTTCAATTTTAAAGGGGTTTTAACAAGTACAAATCAAACTCGCCCTCGAAATTGATTTGGAAGGTCATCTCACATTGTCATTCATACATTCGGAGCTGCAAAATTCATCATGATGATTTTTTCATTGGATTCAGGAGTACGAGTAATAATTGTTTTGAAAATCTGTCTTATATTTCATTAGTTTTTTTTTGGTAATATACAATTAAAAGTTAATATATCTCATTTTGTACGTGAAATTCAACATAGACACAACATAATATATAGTGCAATACATATTTTACTTGATCGTTGATTTTCATAATTTAACTAAAATCTCAATGCAATCTGAATATCTATTGAAAGAAGATAATGGAAGAGTTTTCGGAGATCTATCCAAAATGTTACTTCTTTACAAATATTCGTCGATTAATCAATTTTATTGTAAAATTTTCAAATTATTGACGTCGTCCTCTTAGAAAAGCCGACGAATAAGTCGACGAGGGTCGAAATCTATAGTGTTGTACTATCATTTCTACAATTTTGTGATTTCATTCGTGACATAGAAGAATTTAAAATTCTGTTTTTTTAATATAAATTTACAAAAAAAATAAATTTCGAAACTCTTTCCGTCATGCAAAAATAGTATAGTTTGAGAAAAAATCTTGTCCCAGACAAATAGTCTAGTTTAAAAAAAGTCAAAATTGAATAAAATGACTTAACTACCCTATAACCATCTAGATCTACTTCAGCATTCTCAGTACATAATCATCGGAGTTTTCCTTTGGCAATGACGGGAGATTGATTGGTTATCGTGGAGGAGAAAGTCCAGAGGCAGGATTATTTCCGGGCTGCCCGTTCCGATGGCCAACTCACTCTCCGTCTTATCCCCATTAAAGACGACGAAAGAGGCGTCTCTGCCGCCGACTACGATTGAGGAAGAGGACGGCGGGCTCGGGGAGAGGAGCGGTGTAAGCGGCGGCGAACGACGGCCGGTGAAAATGGAGAAAGAGTTTCCGCCGCCGATTCCCTGGTTAGCCCGTACTGAAAACCCCAGTAATGCACCACTTATACCACCAGAAGAAACCCCATCTAAACCTACATTAGTAATCAAATCAACACCGCTTTCAATTCCAATACAATCGCTCAAGTCAAGGGCGGCGCCATCCGCAAGCCTTCACCGGATTGCCTGTGCCTTGCTCTTCTTCTTCTTTGGCTTACACCTCCAACGGTGCTGCTCACTTCCGTTTAATTTGTTGACGGTGGTGGCGCTGGTCCTCAAGCCCCCGCCACAAATTGGAAATTGGGAATTTTGACCAATTTAGAACTAAATTGAAAGAACGTTCTTCGGTTAGCATCGGCTGGAAAATCAAAAAGCAGCGGCGGCGGCGGCATCGGACAACCTGAATGACTGCCGATTGATGATGATGTTGAAGGCTGACGTCTCCTGATTGATGAATATGCTTTTTATTATTTTTTTTAAAAGAATTTTTAGTGTGGAATTTATTGTCAATCGGGGTAGAATTGGAAATTCACAAGATCAACTGAGTTGTTCCTTAATAGGATTGACCAAATTAAAAAAATTGTACATTCTGAAACTAGATTATTTTTGTAATATACATGTTCATCCCTTGATTAGATCCTTTGGGTGTATTATATTATATAGCATTGGTTATCTCAAAAGTTTACATTTCAGGTATATCCTTGAGTATTTTTTGAGATAGTTGGAATTCGAATGTCATCCTTACCTTTACAGTCGAAGTTAAAAAAATGCTAAATTATCGCATGAGCACTCCATGACCTGCAAGTTGGCGGGGTACAAAACTTCATATACCCTCCATTCTTTATTCAGCTGTCGGTTTTCATAATTCGAGAAAACAAAATGCAAAATATATATATATATATATATAGATTAAATATGAGTTTTCTAATAAATATATGGGAATTTTGTATCTATGAAATAATTTTTTATTCATAAAATTTTTATTTTCGGTTGAACTTGGTGTTGTCATCCTCATCGTCCTCTTAAAAACCTGCACGGAAAGGTTGACGTAGATCAAAATTTATTATTTTATAATACTTTTTTCACAAGTTTCGAATGCTAACATGGTTAGAAAACTAATAAATTATATTTCCAAGGCTTTGGTTGATTTTCTTGTAGAGATAATAATTGAAAAACATGAATTTGCATTTTTTTAAAATTTTTAAAACACAGGATAAAACTAATTTCAAATACAATGGGCAAATTTGTTTATAAAGCGTAAATTACATCTCAAAAACACCAAATTTCAAGGGTAACAGGACTACTATGTCCTGCAAATTGAACCAAAACTGAACCAAAGCTTGGACGCATGTTTGAAACTGCAACTTAGTCAGAAACTTTATCCCACATTTGTTCCTGTATCCTAATCAGATTCAGCCCAAAGCAATAAGATTAATCTTGCTCCTCTTTCTCTGAAAATTCAAAGAAATACGTTTTGAGATTCTTAGAATAAGAAATTCACTCAATGAGGAAACGTGGGCAAACCATCTGTTGACTTTATATTTATCGGAACTTTATTTGATGCTAAATTTTAAGGCGTTAATAATCACCACAGCTAAATACATACTCATTCAGTCCCATAATTATTATCCAGTTTGAGTTTTCATTTTTAGTTCAAATTGTAGTAAAAGTGAAATCTCAAATTGGAAAATAATTTTAGGATAGAGAGAGTAGTTTATTAAAATCTTTGCATCATTCACATGATTCGTATAAATATTGATTTCCCAACGGATAATAGCTTTCTTTTCTCTTCATACAACAAAAGTTTTCACTTTGTTTTCCAACATGTTTTTAGGCGAAAAAAGGTTACTTTTTTTTTTTTTTGTCCTAAACGGTACTCAAATTTTATTAAAACAGATAGCAAAATATATAGATTGTACAAGAAGTATATAAAGAACAGCTAAATCTAGCCATGATAGAAGAGAATAATATTTCTATTCCATGAGGAGTTCTAGATCTAGCAAAGTTCACCAATTAAAGGGAAAAAATAATTTAAAGTCTACAAATACAAGATAAACGATTTAATACATATCTTTTGAAGATCTAACTTGCACTGCCGATCTGAAATCAGTCGTCAGATCTTGAAGGCCTGCAATATTAGATCAACAGCAAATCTATCAATTATGTTCTTGTTCATCTTCTGTCAATCCGCCGGAAATTTTGCCGGAATATTCACCGGAAAGTTTTCCCCGTTTAATCGGATCCGTGAGCGAGAATATACATCAAATATACCAATCAGATCTCCCAAGGAGAAATCTAAATATAAACCAAGAAAAAGAAAAAAGAAAAAAGAAAAAGAAAAAACTTTCATGAACATGTATAAAGACGCGTACGTAATTAACCACACAAAAATGACAAGCAACTGATAAATTGAGAGTACATTTTAACTTGAACATGTATAAAGACGCGTACGTAATTAACCACACAAAAATGACAAGCAACTGATAAATTGAGAGTACATTTTTTATGTTGAGAACAAATTATTAGCAACTCCCAATGGTTATCTCGTTTATGATTTCAATACATTTTTTCTTGCATAATCTCCTCCACTTCTTAACGCTTTCAGTAAAAATTTGCCCCTATAACAATTAATATTGTAAAACACCCAAAAAAAAAAAAAAACTGATTCTAAACCAAATTTTGGGAATAATTGTTATATATAAAAAAGGAAAGAAAACAGATTTAAATTAGTTTATTTTAATTCTATCAGTTGTACAGGGCATATTTGTTCTTCCAAACTTTAAATAGTTATTCTTAACTCAAGTTTCAATATCATGTTTTAATATTTTCACTCTAGAATTTTATTTTTTTTTTGGATGAAAGTTGTTTATTTCATTCCAGTTGAATAAGAAATAGGTACAGACACCATTACCTGTCCAAAAGACTCAGAAATTATAGATTTACAATTGCTGCAAGTATTAAACTACTAACTAGTAACTAAAAATCGCCACACAAAATTATCTTCATTTTCATTTGAACTAAGGGAAGATTTTCATCTTGTTGCACCACACACGGTTGTGCCTGGTATTCTTCATCTTACAAATTTTGGAGAGATTCAGGTTCAAGGAAAACAAGATGTTCTGCATCACTTCTGCTTCATTCACCTTATCTACGCAAAAAATGACGTGATTTCGCACCCCCCAAATGTAGTAAAGTGTTGCTGCCATCACACCTCTACTGTTCTCATCTTTCACGGAGTTTGATCCATATTTCGATAGAATCTCTTCCCCAAAAGTCTGCCAATGGAAAAAGGAGACCTGTGTATCTACCAGAGCCAAGGCTTTGGAGAGTATCTGTGAAGAGAATAAGCAATCAAAGAATATATGTCAAATAGTTTCCTCCTCCATCATGCACAAAGGACATCGGTTATCCATTGAAGGATCATATTTGCTAATTTTCTCCCTGATTTTCAATTTATCAAGACAGGCCAGCCAAACAATAAACCCATGTTTAGGAGTAATGAACTTACCCCAGGATAAAATGTACTCTGGATGCCAATGATGCATCACGGTTAATGTAAGGTATGTGCCATGAGTGGAGAATGGTTCTCCCAAGCCAATCCATTCCAAGCCTTGCAAGGAGACATAGACACATTTTAAGGCATACTCACTCAGTTTCAGCAGCTTTTTAATTGGCCGTGGAGTCGACTGCTTCACTTCTAGACTCCAAAAAGAACCATTCTTTATATAGTATTCATGAATCCACTTCACCCAATCACTTTCCTTGTTAAGCAATATATCCCAAGTGAGGTTGAGAACCAAAGCAATATTAACAGCCCTAGAGTCTTTTAAACCCAATCCCCCTGAAGTGAAGGGTTTGCAAACCTCACTCCAAGCAATAAAAGCTTTTTTGCTATCAAAATTACCAGACCATAAAAATGATCTACAAAGAGCATCTATTGTTTTTATCACCTTTTTTGGGAGAATGAAGATCCTACACCAATAATTATGTAAGCTCTGAAGCACTGCTTTAACAAGGATGAGACGGCCTGCATATGATAAGAACCGTGTAGTCCAACTTCTTATCCTTCCTATAATATTCTCAATAAGAGGTTGGCAATCTGTGATAGAGAGAGATTTGGAGCTAAGTGGCACACCAAGGTACTTCACTGGAAGATTGTCTTTTTTAATCCCCAATATATTGCTTATATCCCGTCTAAGGTTCATGGCTGTTCCCCCAAAATATAAACAACTTTTTGACAAATTGGAGACAAATCCAGAAGCTTCAACAAACTACCTGAGTGTACCATCAATCAGGTTGATCGAATTCATATCAGCTTTTGAGAAGATAAACAAGTCGTCAGCATAGGCCAGGTGAGTGAGTTTCATTCTGTGGCATTTCGGGTGGAATCTGAAGTCATTTTTGGAGGACATTATCCGAAGAGCTCTAGATTAGTACTCCATAACCAGAGTGAAATGGTAATGGGACATGGGATCACCTTGTCAAATCCCTCGTTTGCTCGAAAAGTAACCAGTGAGCTCACCATTTACTAGAACTGAGAATTGAGCTGTTGTCACACAAGTCATGATCCATTTGATAAATCTTAGAGGGAAGCCATAGTTGAACAAACTTCTTCTAAAAATTGCCAGGAGACCGAGTCATAGGCCTTCTGCAAATCCACTTTCAAAGCAACTCTAGGGCTGACATTCTTCCTACCATATAGGTGCACAAGCTCTTGGGCCAGGAGAATGTTATGAGTAATGTTTCGCCTTGGTATAAAGGCTCCTTGTTCCTCACCAACAATGTCTCTTATCACCTTCTTCAGTCGGGTTGTAATGATGTTGGTTATGCACTTATAAACCACATTACAACAAGAGATCGGTCTGAAATCAGCAGCTGTATTTGGGCAAGAATTTTTTGGAACCAGAATGATAACAGTAGCATTAATACCTCGAGGCAACTTGACGTTGCGAAGAAATTCTTGACAGCTTCTATAAAACCAATGCCAATGACATTCCATGAGTGTTTAAAAGAGCCTGGCGCAGAATTATTCGGAATTTGGAATAGGGCTTTTCTGACTTCTTCATCACTGACTTGTCTGCATAAGTCCATGCACTACTAAGGGGACACTAATGGGCCATTCGTAGCTATCTTAGGATACAAAGGGGGTGTTACATGGTATGAACCCAAAAGGTCCTAGTAGAATCTCAAAATCTCATATTGGATTTCTAGAGGATCCGTGAGTTGCTTTCCATCCCTGTCATTTATACAATTAATGGATCTCAAAAAGCCCTTTTCTGGCGAAGACAAGCATGAAAATAAGCTGAGTTTTGATCTCCATCTAGACTCTATTTAATCTTGGATCTCTGTTGTAAGAACAGCAGTTCATATTTTATGAGCTTGTGCAATTCCTCAGAAATTTGCACCTCTTGCATCATCAACAACGAATCAGAGGGATCTTGGAATAACTCATTTTGGATGTCATGTAATCTACATCTGGCCGCATTGATTCTCTGAGCCAAAAACTTAGTCCTTCTCCCATATCTGCCTTTAAGCTTTATTTTCAGAGCTTTAATCTTTCTTTGGAGCCCGTAGAGGTATGATGACGGAGGATTTGACAGCCATGAATCAAACACGGTAAGGATAAAGTCATCTTCATTTGTCCAAAAGTTGCAGAATCTAAACGGAGGGTGAACAACCTTCTGAGGTAAGAGCTCCGCAATGCCTGGTGAGTGGTCAGATACCCCTGGAGTAAGAAAAGAAGCATGTGCTTGCAAAGATGTCATCCAGTAGTTGTTGACAAAGATTCTATCCAATTTAGAACATATTCTCGATCCAGTCTGATGCTTATTGGTCCAGGTAAAGAAGTTTCCTGTGTAAGGCAGGTCCGTGATATGATACTTTTCCATAAAAGACTGTAGCTCAATTGTATCACCAACTGTGATAGTTCTTCCATTAGGCCTTTCAGCAACAGACGCTATGCAGTTGAAATCACCCAAGATGATCCACTCAGAGTCGATAGAGTCAGAGAGGTCATTTAACTCAGCCCATAATGAAGTTCTTCCACCTTTAGAATTCAAGGCATACACAAAGGTAGCAAGAAACTGAAATCTACCAGAAACTATACTACAATGTATAAGCTGATCACTTCTCTGAATAATATGAAGATTTAACTTACTGGCATTCCACAAAAGAAGAATTCTACTATGTGGCAATAAGTCAAAATTATCTACAAAAGACCATACTGGTTTGATGCAACAATGTCCAGTGATTAAGTTAATATTATGTATAGGCACCTTAGTTTCAAGTACAGGTAGTATATCTAAAGCATTAGACTTAATAAAATTCTTGATTTCAAACTGTTTTTTAGGGTCATTTAGACCTCTTATATTCCAGCTTGCAATTTTCATAAGATACTATAGATAAGGGGAAGCTAAGAAGAGGAGGTACCTCCCTTTGGTTTCAACTTTTGTTGACTTCTTGGCCCTTTGGTGGAATGAGCAGGATTCTTAGCTTCTGGAGCTGTAAGATTAGATGAATTCTTCCCCGGTTGACCACTGGTTTCTCCTTCTTCTGAGCATCTCTGATGATGGTCTATGGGCCCTTTGATGGTGGTCGCCTGATTCTCAGCTCCAGGAGCTATTAGGTTGAATTAATTCTTCTCTAGCTGACCGATGGTTTCTTCAACTGTACCTCTCTGAAGAATAGTAATTGGTGTTGGGCTTATCTTAGTCACTGGCTCATCTGAGAGTACCGGCAGCTTACCAATTAGCTTAGCATCCCCTTCCCCTTAGGTACCGATACTGGATTAGCTTGTAGTTGAGGTTTAGTTGAGACTTTGTTGACCTCATTTACATCACGTGGCCTCTCATTTCCCTGGTTGATCTCAGTATTATCATGGGATGAATCATTCTCTGAGAGTATGATTTCCTTTGGTTCTTTAGGGAGCCATACTGGTTTAGGCTTTCTGCATTTCTCTGTTGAATTTCCGAAACACTCACAATAGGTACATCTCGATGGAACCCATTCATATTCCACTTTCTGTGTAATTGAGACTCCACCAGGGCCCTTCAATTTGATCATATTAGGAAGCTCAGAGTGGGGATTAATTTCAACACAGATTCGGGCATATCTTAGTCTTCCCTTTACTGCTGTTATCCCATCTATGCAGATCGGTTTCCAATCACACTTGCAATTTTGCTCAGAACAGATTGAGACCAGAGATGTATTTTTAGTAATGGTAGCTGTACCCAAATCGGTTATCCCTTCACTCTAGAATTTTATTTTATTTTTTTTGGTTTTTTCGCCTGATTGGAAATCTTATATATAATTCCAGATAAAACAAAAATAATTTCATTATGTATTAAGTTTATGGTGGAAAGGGAGAAAAATAAGGAAGAGAAAATACGATAAATGTATTAAAATCATAAAAGAGGGTAGCATAAAGTATTTAACAAAACTACTTTCAACTAGTCTTTTGGTGTCGCACGTTGCGCGACCAGTCTTTACTAATACTTGTGTAATATAAATCGCAATTAAGAATATTTAGAAAACCATATTTCTCTGTTGGAGTTAGTAATGTGTAATCAGGGAATAATCGTGTATGTTTATAACAAAAAGTAACATTAATATTTATGTTTAATACGATGGGAATTAAACTAAAAAAATGTATTTGAGATATGCAGAGGAAAAAAAGAGGTATAAATTCAGTGTCAAACTGACCTCATGTCAGTCGCGTATTTGTTTGATCGACGTAACTTCAGTGTTGTTGTCCTCAGGTACTTCATCTGTGAGTTCACTCTCTCTGGCAGTTATCAGCAATGGCGTCACAAAAGAACCGTCGTCCTCAATTAAATTGTTGACGTAGTAATCTCGAAGCCCCCTGTACATTCTTTTTTATCCTCTCAGCTGCAATAGAAATGTTTTATTTTCTAACAGCTCATGTATTTCTTTAAGATTTATCTCTTAAAAAAAACAAATAAGATTTTAAGGACGTGTCATTTTTCAATGCATATATAAAGGAAGGAAACATTGGATTTTTCAAACATGCATGTTTAGGAACTTAAATAGCTGAAACGAAGAATGTGCATACCTTTTCAGGGTTCTCAACGATTTCTGTTGTAGTGAAACCCAATATTTTTTCTGCAATGCTACCGAAAATGCTAGCTTGGATTGATCCGCTCTCGTCATGAATGTTAGCTCTTAGATGACACCTAGAATGCCAACAGTAAGATTTATGAATATTTCAAAATCATCTAATGGGCTAAAATGTCACATATAATATTTCTAAATTTCCATATGTTTCAGAACTGTATCTTAAGAAATTGAAATTGATATACTTTGGGTTGGTTGCAGATTGCTTTAATGACCACTTGTTGCATTTGAAATCTTGTCGATAGATTGGTGATGTTCCGGTGCCGCATTCCTTGCAAGCCATGTAGTAGAATGGTTGTGGTATGTCTCTGAACTCAACATGGACTTTGACTAACATATCCTAATTTTTTTGGCAAAATTTAAAACTTCGTTAATTTGAATGAAGAAATATAAGAAGAACTAATACACGTTGCATAAAGAGTATTAGGAACCAAGCGTGTTAACCTGTTGTTCATCATCCATATGTGTGACTGGAGTGATTTGTGAAAGATTTTTGTGACTGATGCTAGGAGTAGACGAGAATGATGGTTTATTCTGCAAGAAAAGATCGATTTCCTTCCTATTTTATTGTGACCTGAAAAAGTTAAAAAGGTAATTAATATGCTAAAAATTTTTGTAAAAGTTGGTGTAGAAAAATAAAAATATATACCAGTTCCTCAGTTTCCTTGCTTTGTCAGAAGGAGGATTGATCAAAACCACCGATCTATGTGAAGTTGTTACCTCAATTTCTGATTAATATGAGAATTAAATTATCAGAGAACAAGTGTGCAGAAAAAGTATGGTTGTTGAGGTGTCTGTTTTAGAAATGGCTTATTAGTGTACCGTTGTATGCAGAGATAAGCATCCGGCGGCAAACGACGGTCGGGTAACTCTTAGCTTGAACTTGTTCAGTTAATAATTATTCGAAAACCATTATATTGGACAAACTCTTCATTTAGCTTAAAGAACTTCTGGATCATTCTTTTTTTCCTTTTTCCTATCGTAATAGTTTGCGCGTGGCTTCTCTCGACTATTATACCAATAACATTTGTAAGAAAAAGGTTATTTAAAAGAGTATAGATCAACATAAGTTTTCTATTTGATAAGAATGTTTGAGTAAAACAAATACGCTTCCCAACAAAACCATCTTGAACACCAGCAAAATCATTAAGAAAATCAAAGGGCGTGTATTGCTTCTTGGTTACAAGAGTAGTAATAGGTTTGTTGACCTCATCAACAACCGTCCAACACCAATGACCCATTGTTTGGAAAGACCTGGAGACCTATACTCTTGTTTAATGTACCGGATAGGTGCGTTGGAGACTCGATATTTTCTACACGCCTACAATCGTGGTCCCATGATGCTGATGGCCTATTCGAACATAATACCTTCTACTTTAGCACCCTACAATAATAAATCAAATATTAATATTATGAATATGTGAGGTGAAAATTAGTATGACAACTAACAAATATAGATAATGTAATTCACCTTTTCATCGTTGAATACCATCTTTTGAGTTTTAATGTAGTGGCCGAATGGATTTTGCTTCTCCTCGACAGTGATAATAGCTGTCCAAGGCTGATCAGAGTCGTTGATCTTGTCAATTTCAACCTTGTTCACAATCATCTTTGGTGCACAAGGAGCCATTCTAAAAAAATTTGCAGGAAGGAAAAAAAAAATAGGTATGAATAATAAGGAAGAATTTTTGGGATGACGTAATTGGAAATCCGATCAGGATGCCATTCTATTTGTAAAGGGTTGCTGTTGTATTTATCGAGCGGATGTCGTCGTGGTGTTTGTAATCCGATTCGGATTCATAAATTAGGGGACGAATAAGAATTTGAAATTTCGCCTATTTTTTTGGTGATTTCCTACCGTAATTGAATTTGTAATTCGATTGGGATTGTAAAAGAAGGGGACAAATCTGAATTGGAAATTTTTCTTTTTTTGCTGATTTCCTAATCCAATTTGAAGAAGAAGAACGGAAATCGTTGCTTGGTGGCCCAAATTAACTACACAGCCCAATGTCATGTTGAGAGTATTGGTAGGAACGCCGTCGGCGGTGCGATGGTTTTGGTGGATAAGTTGCCGCAGGAAATGGAGAAGCGGAGAGTCAGATTCTACCAAAAATGTAGAGGATGATCTATTAGACTGAGGGGGCCGGAGGAAGAAGCGGCGAAGGAAGAATTTTTTTGATGGAGGATGGCGGAGGGAAAAGGTGCGAAGGTGGGTGCCAGAGGGAGTAGCGTCGAATGGGGTTGTTGAAAATGTTGAGTACCACAGAAGGCAGGACGGGGTCATTCTTTTTGCATTTGGGATTTTTTTTTTTCGTTTGGGGGGTTGTAATAATTCAGTACATTACAGATTGTAAATTATTTGGATGGTTTAAATGCGTAATTTGACAATTTTAACCCTAATAAGTCGCTGACATCATATCAACCCAATCCGACGGACATGATCGATTTTACGGTGGTTCTTGAATATTTCTTTGGTATTATTTCTGAGCTACTGTGCCTTTTATTTAAGTACTAGGCTTGTCTCGTCGCGTGTTGCACGACCAGTTTCTTTTCTGAATCAGTTTATTCGATTGTTATTCTGAGAATCAAAGTGATAACGACGAACATATTAGGCTTATAATTTTTAAATTATACCCAAATTATGAAAGAAATTAAGGTATTTTCTATTAATCGTTGGTTTGAGTTGTCTGGGATTTAAACAATCCAAACAAAAAAAAATAAAAAATTTATCATCCAAAACAGCTAAATTGTTTATTTTATCATTCTGGAGTACACTTTATTTTTTTCCTTTCAATTTTTAATGTTTATCCGTGGTATTTTCTATTATTTATAGGTTTGCATTCCTAATGGTAATTTTTGACTATTTTTAAATACTATTTTATTAGCAATTGTAATTATCTTTCTTTTCTAAATTATTTTTATTCATGATATTTCCTTTTAGTCACAATCCTAATGGCAATTTTTGATTATTTTTAAACTCCTTTTTTGAGCAATTGTGATTATGGAACTCGACACCGTTCTTCTAGCATTATATAAACCACTATGACATTGTAGCTTCCCAAATTCTAAATGTTGTGTTTAATCAATTAAAATATTTGAGAAAGTGTTGGGTTTAATCAATTAAAATATTTGGAATGATTTGGAAGATTTGGTCTCTGAGTAATGAATGTTGATTTTGATCTCTTGATAGCTTTTCAAGTTTTAAGGAAATGGAAGAACTATCTTTTATTGTTGGAAAAGTTTGTTAAGGAAGGGGGAAACTAATAGGGAACGAGATTTAGATTTCATCACTGTAAAATAAATGCAAACAGTTCTCCTCTCTTAAACGGTATAGAGGTACAAATTTTCTTTAGAGAAAGAAAATGAATTTTGTTTATATCAAGAAAAATGAAATCCTGCTATCTCGTCTGCTCAAAGAGATAAATTAGTGCTTTTGCCGTTTGGTGTGCTTTGCTGTTTCAGTGCCCTTATTCACTACTTTCTTTCGGAAAGATATGCAGTGTGGGTATTGTTGATTCAATACACAAACAAACAATAATCTTTAAGAGAAAAATGAATAGACACCCGTCATATTGAAAACCTCTGTTATGTTTATATTACTTGGAAGTACATTTATTTTTTATGTGCAAATTTCTTTTCAAGGTCCCAATCCCTTGTGGTGTTAATTTCAGCATCTAGTAGTAGTTTTTAATTATAGTTATCGTGATTGAAAACTCTTTATATTTTAAACAAGTTTTCATCAGAGAACAAATTTGACGCCTGATGCATTGCTTCTGCAATAAATTGTCAAGAAAGTTGGTTAATCTCTATTCTAGGTTGTAGCTGATATACATCTATGCTAATTTTCATTGATGGCGCGAGGAGGTCGATGAGGCAAAATCAGTTGCATCCTTGAGATGAGATTAAATTAGACTGCATTGTTTAGATTCCCAATCTAGAAGGGATTATGTCCTGGTATTATCGGCATTTGCCTAGCTTGCAGCCTGTGAAAGCCACCTATTGTCATAGGAACTCAAATTCCTGGCTAGTATAGTACCCTCAAGTCCAGGAAAAGTGTTATGCATGCTTAAACCTGTGTTCTGCTCCCCAAAGCCTGCACTTAATTTCTCACGAGATTGATCACCAGGTCTATTACGACACCAAGATTTTGTCACCTGTTGTTACCACCCATTGTAAAAAAGCTAATGAATACAATATTCATGTTAAAAGATAACCCATACTAACAACCCCTTGATAAAATCATCTGGCACAGAATATAACTACTTAAAGACTCTTATTGTTGAAGATACAATTAGTCAAAGAATATAGCTTGCTGATACAGCTAGGAATTTCACTTTAGAAAGGTAACAATGCCTCCAAGATACAAGTTTTTTATCCTTGAAAGAAATGGAAACTCCATACAAATTATGCAATTGTAACTCAAACCAAATGATGGAATTGAAGTGTTAAATTCATCACAAAAGAATCAAGAGAAATAACTTAATCCTAGTCCGGCTATTTATTGGAGTAGACTTAATATATAGAGATGACAAAGCAACTGTCAAATAAAATAGGGGGACAAACAGGCGGCTGTTTTGAGAGTTCGATGTGCAGACATACTTAAAAAGAGAGCCTAAGTTGATAGCTACTTTCATACATAAACTGTAAAGAAAAAGGGATTCAAGAAGTTCAGATCTAAAATGACAGTGTCTCTTTTCCGTCATAAGCAGATCAGAAAAAAACTTAGAAGAGGATAATGCGGGGCTAAACAAGCAAAGCTAGAAATTAACGTGGCAAAATTTTCAGGGCTAATCCCTCAAGCAAGCATCAGAAGGGGCAAATTGTAAAGTCCCTACTAATTTATGGCTGGTGAATTGCAGGGGCAAACTGTAAAGGCCCTGCACTAGCGGATTGCAACCCTTGTGATGCCTTTTTATGCCTACTCTAGACAGCGACAAAAAATCTATTGCCATCAGGAACGAAAAAAACACCCTAGAACTATCAGATATTATAATAAGCAAAGAATTCTAAATCTAAACAATATTTAAATAGTGTTCTAACATTTTTAATTTTAGCCAGATTCTCATCAAACAAAAATAACATTATAGGATGGTTATTTCAACATGACATGTCACCAAGCATTAATCAGCATGATTTCATACAGACAAAGCAGGTCAAACTCGACAATGTTGTTAGGAGCAACCCAGTGAACCCCGATCAAAATCTACAACAGCTTTGAAGTCACTATAAGCAATCTAATCATAACCCTTAAAGAATTGTAGTTGGGAGTAAAGAAACCAGTGAATGAGGAGATCCTAATGAGGAGCCCTTCTAAACAAATATGCAGGAAGCAACAAAAACCATAGTGCTAAGGTATGTCATCAAGGATTCTCTTCTTTTTTTTTGGTAGTTGTAATATGAGTTCAGGAATACAATAAGACCAAAAAAAATACCCGTGTAAGAAGAAAAAAGCTTGGATTTGGGAAAATTTCTTTTGCAGGAGATGCACGAGATTGCCCTTTAGAGGAGCCGAAATCTGTTTTCATGGAACAGTTAGGAGACATTAAGTTTAACACATCAAAAGCCATGTAGGCTATTCAGCACGCATGGTTTGACTAAAAAGGCAACATGGGAAATAACCGAAAAATCATAAATTCCTACCAAACGCAAAGCTACACGTAACAATGGAGTGACCAGGAACAACATACAGTACCAAACACATTAAAATCAGGAAAACCAAAAAAGAAGCTCAATTGATTATATTCAATTGTTGATGAATCACAATTTCCTTGTCAATTGTTTTAAGATAAATAAAAAAGAAGCAGGGAAGCAAGAACTGACAACAATATCACATCAACAACACAAAGGACTGAAATAAAAAGTATATATATAATTCTTGATTTCTGAAAAATACAAAGAACCAGGAGATGCAACATACAAGAGCAACAACAGCACATCAAAACAATTACAACAATAATCAGAGAATCAAAATGGGAAGCAGGTCATGCAAACTACACGAGAATCAACCTTGTAACTATGATTTTTCATGATTTAATTAGCCAAAACTAAAATAATCACAAGAACAATAGCAACGACGTAGGCAAACTTCATGATGTCTGTTGGAATTATTACTAAAAATCCAAACAAAAAAATTCATGTGCAACTTGATGCTACACAGGTTCAGTGAATAGTTGCCGGGAGTTGCAAAAATATTCGTCCAAAAATAATAGCAGGAACACGCAACATCTCATTAAACAATTGCAACGATAATAACAGTGATCAAGCTATAAACTTTAAGGATTCCAACGGGGAAAAATAAGGCTGATCAATACTTAAAATTGAAACTGAAATTTCAAATAAAAGCATGAAAACGAAATTAAGTTGGAGCAAAATCAAACGCATGGAAAATCGATCAAAAACTTCAAACTCATAGCAAGTCAGAACACTCAATCATGAACACGCAATTCAGACCAACGATAACCCTAAATTTGTTAAAGTCTGAAGGGAAAACATAGTGATGCAGAATGAAAAATAATTGAACCTACGCTAGTTACTTGATGCTACACAGGTACAGTGGATAGTTGCCAGGAGTTGCAAAAATATTCGTCCAAAAATAGTGGCAAAGAAGGAAAAATTTACATGTTACGAGCCGAGAGTTAGAAAGCTGTAAATAGAGCTTGGGGTGGTTCTATTTGTGGGGATTGCTGGGGTTTTTATAGACCGGTTGTGGACTTTGAAGTTATAATCCGATTAGGATTCTGAAATCATGGGACGATTTGGAATTGAGAATTTTTTTTTTTATATAGTGATTTCCTAATCCTATTTGAAAAAGAAAATCGGAAATTGTTTCTTGTTGGGCCAGAACAAATCCACGGCCCGAGGCCATGCTGTCGGTGGAAACGCCACCGGCGATGTTGTGGTGACGGTGGGAACAAGGCGATGGGTTGGTTTCCGTTGGAGGGTGGCCGGAGAGAAAGTCGGGAAGATGTAGACGAGGAGAGGGAAGAGTTTTGTTTAGGCTGGTGAAGAGGAAGACACGACGTCGTTTATTTGGTTGGGAATTTTCTGGGGAAAAATTAGGCAGAGGAAAGGGACGGCTTCGTTTTCTTCATGGGAGTTTTTGTTTTTTACCTTCAAGAAATCACATTTGTTTACTGGGGGTTTTTATTTTTACTTATTATCCTCAAAAACTTACGGTTGCTTATCCTCTGAATTAATGAAATTTCATTTTTGCCCCTAATTAATGATTTAATAATGACCGTCGGATCGTACCGATCCGACGGATAAGATCACTTTGAAGGTGGCTCTTAATATTTCTTGCGCATTTAATTTCTTGCCTACTGTGCCTTTATATTAAGTATAAGGATAAGGATTAATCAATTGTCAAAATAGTAATATTGCTACTGAACAAATGTAATGAAAAATGGTGATGAGATGATATTAGGAAATGTGAAGCAAAGTCTTCTCAAAACGAAATATTTCAATGATTTAATTGTAGCAAAAAAAAAAAATTAAATTAACTGAGCTGCGGGCAGACTAGGGGTGTAAACGAACCGAGCCGCTCGCAAGCTACTTGCGAGCTCGCTCGATCAAAACTCGACTCGAAATCGAGTTGACCGAGTTCGAGCCGAGCTCATTAATCAAACGAGTCGAGTCTAGCCCGTGGGAATGTGGCTCGAAAGCTCGTCGAGCGGCTCGGCTATTCATATATATTTTAATAAATAATAAAATTTTACTTATATTTGAGACTTCTTAAATGAAAGTTGGAACCTGGAGCCCACCAAGTCTATCTAATTAATGCCTTTTCCATCTTTCAAAAGCATCTGACGTCTCTTTTCTCCATGTGTTCTTCTTCTTCTTTACTTTTTTTTTTTTGCTTTTTATTCTCCAAAAACAAATCTAAAAAAAACCCCTGATGTTTCCCTCCTTCCCATTCCATTCTTCCCCCCTTCTCGAATCTTCAACAAATCTCCCACTTCACAAAATTTAGGAACATTAAGAGGAGCTAAGGCCCATTGTCGATTTTTTTTCTTTGTTGATTGTTTGGAAGTTTGGTGTTTAGTTGTTGGAGAGTTTGGTGCAAAGATTTCAGTTGATGAAGGGCATGTTGATACTCAGTTTGCTTAGATCTATATAGATATAGAGGCTTTTCATTTGTTCTTTTTGATATGAGGAGGAATTGGTGACTCACAAATCTCTTTTATATAGAGAATATATAGTTGCGAAAGTTTTTAATTGGAATTCGAATGTATAAAAATCATGCCGCTTTATAACTTCTTTGATTTGAGACTTTAGATCTATGCAGAATTTTTGCAACTTGATTCTCGATGCAATTTCATTATTAATAGATTATTTAGTTTTTTTTTTAATTAAGAAAATCGAGCTCAACGAGCCGAGTTCGAGCCTTCTAAAATTAAGGCGAGCCGAGCTCGAGCACAAATTTTTCAGGCTCGATCGAGCTCGAGCTCGAGTTCGAGCCAAGTAAAAATGACTCGAGCCGAGCTCGATAAGAGGTCTGCTCGCGGTCGGTTCGGCTCGTTTACACCCCTAGGGCAGACCAACAATTATGATTATATACCCCGTGCCTTTCTACGTCATTTGAATTTATTCAACTCTGATCAATTCTTTTTCTTTTTTCTTTTCTCTTCCTTTTTATTTCGTTTTTATACATCTCCCACTCCCTTTCATACAAATAAAATCACAGGAAAAGATCAAGAAAAGGAAATGCATTTGGATATAACCTTTTAAATTGCTGTTGTGTACAACTTGATCAGTACGGTCATATGTTTACAATTTCAACGATAAATCCATGTACTAACCAAGTCTACCAATCAAGCAAAATATGAAATGTGCAAATTTAACAAGAGTGGATAGCACATTGGACATGTATGTATTACGCATATATAAACTAACTGTATCCATAATCCGCGTCGAATTCCCCAGGATAAATTAGCACCATGATTCTGTTTGACTTTTTAAGAAACCAGCAAGCGAAATTTAAATTCCCACTTATCATCAATACAAGGTACAGTTAATTTCCTACATGTCTAAACATACAAAAGTTTGAGATGTTTTAAATGGAGGCGATTATAACTCCTTTTTCCAGTACATCTAAGGAGACGAAAAATAATATCTACATTAAATCATTATATTTGCGCCTTCGCGGATAAAAGAAAAAAGAATATGGCCTCATTAAATCATTATACTTTTCCTTGACTAGGGTGGAATCTTTAGCACAAATTAAGACATGGCCTCATTACATTCTTTATAAGAATATTCGAATAATTTTAGTTCGGTTTTTTTTTTTTTGGTATATTACTCCAACACCACCATCTACTTATTCAAATTAGAGCCAAGTAAGTCACTGTTTTTGAATTAAATAAAAATTCAACAAGTATATGAATCACTTTTTTTTACAGTTTAATCAAATGTTTACTGGTAATTTTAGTTCGTTTTGATACCAAAAAAATATAAAAAAGAAGATAAAGAAAAAGAGATGCATACAGCTGCGCCCCCGGATTTTGAACCGGCCTTCTTAACTCGAGAAATGAAGCTATGTGCTGACGGCATTACATCGAAACGTACGGCTAATCTAATAAGTTTTATTTATTTATTTATCTTTCCTCTCTATCTAACCATCTTAACATCTTCAAAAGTCAGAAGTGAAAGCATCTCTAGCTTATATAGTATTCTATCTCCTACCAGCTTAGCCGAAGCATCAAATCACCACCATTAAATTAAAACCAAATTAATCAATCAAAGGGAAGGAAATAGTGGATGAAAATGGTGATCAGGAGTGGACTGCAGCTCAATGTAACTGCACTTGTTAACCAGTTTTCGGGTCCAACCGGAAAGGTAAGGCAAGTTGAGGTATGTATGTACTGCGCATTAGCCCTAATTTCCGGCCTTGTAATTTTCGGTTCTTTCAGACGTCGTACAAACAGTGGATTTCTTAGTGGCTCCATAACCGGAGCTTTTGTCTTGTCTTTCAACTTGATTACCTTCACCATTGGTCAAATGCTCCCAACCTCTATTAACAATGTTTTTTATCCTATATGGGCTGTTTACTTGGTTTTACTCTATGGAAACCCTGATAGTATCACTGCATATAGTCTTGAAGATAATGAACAATGGAGGAGGTCATCTTTGACTTATGTTATCCAAATGGGTTGGATGGGTTGGGTGGTTGGCTCACATGTTCATGTTGAATATGTTGCACTCGGAGTGTTAACTTTTATCATGATATTTGTTTGTGCATGGAAAATAGCAGAAAGAACCGATGCTCTTGCATTTGCCAGCAAGAGCGGTGTGATAAAAGGAACCAAACTTATCGCGGATTTCATGAGGTACGAGCACGAATTAGGTGAATTACCCGCGGATCCGGTCCATATGAGAGGTTACCATTATCTTGTGACCGGTGAGAACGCAAAATTTGTGACTACTAGCTCCCTACAAGATATTGAAAGATTAAACATCACGCGTGATGAAGTGATTACAATTGAGAAGGTTTGGAGTTGCAATAGGAAACTTCTGAGCGCAGATGGAGATCCAGATTCAAAGATGAAGGATATATGTCTCTCTTTTGCTTTGTACAAGCTTCTTTGTTGCCATTTTGCTGGTTTTCCTTTTTCCCAATCCTCACTTGACAAGCAATGGGAATTGATTCGAGACGGGCTTCTCCAAAATGTTGAAAACTATGAGAGACCTTTTCGGGTAGTTGAAACTGAACTTGGATTCTTATACGATCATTTCTACACGAAGTATGCTCTATTCTTCAGAAAGCCATTGAATAAGTTATATCGATTTGGCTGGATTGTTGCTTCAAGTTATCTTATCCAACATTTATTTCTAACCCAGTATGAAGATTCATATGACTCACAGTTTTCTGAAGCTGCTGGAAATCGCAAAGTAAAACATAAGCTGGATGATTATGTGCTTGCCACTAATATAATTATGCAAGTTGTGGTAGCCTTAGAGGTTTTACAGCTCATTTTATTCATCATCTCAAATTGGGGAAAGCTATTGTTTTTATGCAAATACGTGGAGAAAAAATCATGGAGGGATAACGTGTTGTACGAGCAAGTTGTGAGAGTTCTATGTAGCATTCCATGTCGAAATCGTTGGGGAAGGCAACTCGGCCAATATTCCTTCTTCGACTCATTTCATCGAAGGCCTCCAAGGTTGATGTATAATTACATCACTAGAGATCTTTTTGATAATCCTGGAAAAGGGTATGGAGGATGTACTTTTGTGAAGTTGCCTCCTGATCTCCAGGTGGCAGTTCTTGTTTGGATTAAGAGAAATGGGCGTCGGTTTGCAAAAGGTATTGAATCATTGAATGCAAATGGGGTGAAAAGCGAGGAGTTGTTTTTGGCTTGCAAGTACAATACAACCACTCAAGTAATAATGGTATGGCACTTAGCCACCCGTCTTTGCGAGATCCAACATAGAAGACCATCGAAAGAGAAAAGCATCGCCATGATATTGTCAAAATATTGTGCCTACTTGGTTGTGTTTTCTCCACGATTATTACCGGATCATTCATATGTTACTGAATGCACATTTAAGAAGACCGTCAAAGAAGCAGAAAAGCTTCTGAAAGGCTATTACAAGTCTACTGAGAGAAAGTATAGTAGAATTAGGGCTTTGGCTGATGTATTAACGCCTTTACAAAACATGTCTACCATAGAAGCTAGTGCCAGGGTTTCCAAATTGTTGGTAGAAGAAGTTGGAGATGACGTAGATAGGATGTGGAGAATGTTGGCAGATTTCTGGACTGAGATGTTGTTGTTCATTGCTCCTTCAGATGATCTTTCAGCTCATGCTGAACATTTGGCTCAAGGAGGAGAGTTTATCACACACTTGTGGACTTTGCTTTTTCATGCTGGTATTGTCAAGAGAGATCATATTGATGATGTGTGTATATAGTCTAATTTTCACGATTAGAGCAATATTCAATCATCTGCAATAGTAGTGCTGTTTTTGTGTAAATATTTACATTATTGTAAATTCCTAAAACAACATGAAGTTGTACTTTACTGTTGGCATAATATATACCACATACTTTAATTTATTTTCGATTAGATGTATCCTGTAGTGTTGGCATAATTTGTCCTAATATATACTGCATACTTTAATAATTGACTAGGTAAGGATGCTCGTACCTCTCGTGCCTCTCTATGTTTCGTAGCCACCGTTCCTATTAACCTATGAAACATAGAGATACTACGTAACGGAATGATAAAATGACTAAATACCATTCTTTATAAAATTCAGTGTACATTGGAACTGCAATGTTTTTTTTTTCCCCCTTTTTTCATTACTGCCTCTATCATTAAGAGGAACCTCTCTAATAAGATTCCTCATTAGCTTTATCTTAGAAAAAACTCTACAACCATATAAAAAAGAAATATTATAGAAATCTTCTAAATCACCAAAAAAAAAAAAAAATGAAGAACAAATCATGTGAATGTTTATTAAGTATTGGTACTTCTTGACGATATAAGTAACATGCGAAAAATTGGAGCATCATAGTGATTCCAAAAAGCTGAGTAGGACAGTGCAATATAGTGATTCGAAGGAAATGACAAAACCATTCAGCAAGACTTCATCAAGACTTGGGGTCAACAATATTTGTCAATTTTTAATACCTAAAAGTTTGTAATAATGTCTAGGTGGTCCGTCTGTTCTTAAGGTGCTATGTGTAAACAACGAGTTTTTAAATGTGAAAATATAGAAACATGACTTTTACTATTCACAGAGAAAGAAGTCATCTTGCAAGAATGTGTTGGAGTTAATTACATCTTTTCCATCTATACAATGCAACAATAACAATGATAACAATAAGTCACCATCATAAATAATGGTGGATGGGGGAACATTCAGTTTTTTAAAAAATTTAAGTTAATTGGGTTTCTTCACCTAGCAGAAATTTGTTTTCTTTCCAAAGGGGCTCTAATATTAAAATCCCACCCAACACCATGAGCATGCCATTCAGGGTTGTTACTCGCAAGGTAACTTATAGGTTGTTGCATTGAAAATACATTTATCTATCATAAAATAAAAATACAAATTTATGATATAACTTTATTTCAGTGACGAACTTAACTTTAACGCATAAAATATCTCAATACTCAATTCCTTTTTCTTGAAACATGCAATAGTGTTTATATCAACTAGTCATATTTAACCTGGATTGTTTTTCCCTAGAAACGTAAATTGAAATTTCTATTGAAAAGAAAATGCGCGCACACACACACAATAGCAATATTTGTACTGAGACCAAAGATTAATGAGATCAGGAATGATCCAGTAAGCTTTTCTTTCCTCTATTTTTTTTTTCTTCTGAAGAAAAGGAGTTTCAAAACTAGCATTTTCATATAAACTAGTAAATAGGTATCTAACATTTACTCAACTCACTATAACAGGTTGGGATAGCAATCAATGTCTAAGTCTAGTTTTTGAGACATTGTAAGCGGCCAAGTCAACATTATGGTCAATAGATAATGTTTGGAGAGTATTTTTCAGTACCACAAAATCTATACTTGCATTAAATGTTGCAGGTACCGATTGGGTGAAGATCAAACCGAAAGCTTTACGAATTTCAAACAGGAAAAAGAAAGCAAACCAAAACAGTACCCTTGATATCGTGAGTTTAAGGACTGTGTTTCCACGCCATTAGGTTGTTCAAAATGGAGATACCGATACTGTTCAACATAAAAACTTTGGACTGAGTAAGAAGTCTGTTGGATCAACATTTTTATGTGGTAGAAAAAAGGACCACATCTCTGAGGTGGGTATTCTCAACGAGATCTAACCATATACGTGTGAACAAAAAAAAGCTCTATACAATAATAACAGAAAAGAAAACAACACGCCACCACAATTCAATGTATTTGAAACAACCCCTTGAACATTCCAAATGATTAAACTTATAAGGAAAGATTTGTTGAGATCTGAGGTCTAAACTTCAAAGGGTACTTGGTTAAGATTTCCTGGATCAACATTGACTAGTAAACATGAGAATTGTACTTCTCCAGTCTCACAAAAATATTCTACAACATAAATTGAAAATTATGCTTCCTTTGTTTTGAAAAAATAATTCATTTTGAGATTTGTACTATTTTTTGAGACAAAGAAACTAATTATATATATATATATAATTCACAATTTACAATGTGGACTATTTTTCTTAAATAGAGGAATTATATGATCAAAATTGGGGGAAAACAAATATAAACCAATTCTTATGAAGTCTACACAAATGGAATTTAGACTGATTACTAGCTAGTATTCAGTTAACATTTTTTTTCTCCTAAGTCCTATCATGTTATAGTGATATTACGATTGTTAGACGATTAGCGGATTCTTAATGTGGCTTACAATTAGTATTATCTTGTTTAGGGATGAGATTAATCATACTGTGAATGTACTATTTCTTTGAAAATCACTCTCACGAGGGAAAAAAAAATCAAGATTTTCTATACAGTTTGACCTCATTGATACTTATTTAATCTCGATGTGTGTATTTTTTTTCTGAGTATGTTACACATTCAGTGTATGAATTCATTCTTCCGACCAATTCAGATTCGAGCTGAATAATTACCTTACAGGAGGCAAAATTCTCCCAACAAGTATTTTCATCACTACCGCATGCGTATGCCTGACTTAAATCTTAGGTCATAGTTAACCTGGCCTAATACATGTATCACTTAGTCCAAGTACTTGTTGGTAGTCTTGATGTGTATTACAATGAAGATTTCACAATCAAGTCATTAATAAACTACTGCAAATAAAAGGAAATTTATATAATCAAATTCCTAAGTACCGTAAGCTTTTTTCTAAGTTTACTAGGGGCGAAAACACAGTCACTGTGTGTTCTCACTCCGCGACTTTTCCGACGTAATTCACGTTCGCCATGGCAAAAAAGTTGAAGAAGCAAGGGGGATCAGCTGTGATTGAAGCTCAGGAACAACAAATGGCAGGAAAATCAAGCCCTCTAAGTCCCAAATCGAAGAATCTGGCCAGCTCAAGGGAGTCGTTGAAACCTAGCTCTGCATTAAATACCATGTCAGAATCGAATTTATTGCTAGAGAAATTGTGTAACCAGTGGGTAATTAAGGTTGATGAGGTTGGAAAACACCAGAGAAGACTAGAATCGATGATGATACACGATTAAACATGACTGATTCGAATGTTTGGAAGGGATTGGATCCGTAGAAACTTCTAGGTCACGAAAAGAAGTTACAGTTTATTGAACCCCAAATAGTGAATGATCGTTGTATTGGGAAGATTATTATGGATGAAACACAACAAGAAATTGATTATTGGAGGCCATCATTGATTTGCTATGTTCTTGGTGCTAACCCTCTGTTTGCGGTAATGAATGGATTCATACGACGTATGAGGGGAAAGTTGGGAATTGACAAAATCTTACTGCTGGAGAATGGTGTGTTTATAGTAAGATTTACATCTGCAAAAGAGGAAGTACTAAAGAATCCAGTGTATCAGTTTGATCATAGGCCAGTGGTGGTTAAGGAATGGTCTGTCACAGAGGAGATCAACTTGAAGAAAATCCACAAAATTCCTATCTAGATACAACTGCCTAAGCTGAAATTGAGATATTGGAATCCCACAACCCTAAGTAAACTATCTAGTATGGTTGGAGTCCCTATTGAGATGGATGATATGACATCTCAGAAGCCGAAAACAGCCTTTGCTAGAGTCCTTGTGGAACTGGAAATCCATGAAAAGCTTAAGGAGGTGGTTTGGTTTGAGGATGAGCTTGATAACAGAAAGTGATTTATGAATGGAAGCCTATTAAGTGCTTGAATTGTAGAGGTTTTGGACATGGAATAGAAGAGTGTAGGCTCCCTGTGGTGAAAAACTGGAAGCAGAAAGAAGGTGAGAATATGCTTGAGAATAGTGCTCTGCCAGATAAAGGAAAGGAAGATAAAGAGAAGGAAAAAATGAGTAATCCAGACATTATTGGAAAGGGAATTAGTGGAAAGCAAGTTGGGAATACATCTACAAGACTAGGTGAGAATGGAAAGGAAGCAGAAGGTATTCAGATACTAAACCAAAAAAGAAGGAAAGTGGCAGAAGGAAGACCAAGTGAGAAAAGTAAGTCTGTGAACATAATTTGTTATCAGGATTCTAGTCACTCTTCGGGGTCTAGAAATCATGAATAACATTATGTTTTGGAATGTAAGGGGACTTAATGGTCCCGGCAACACAGAGAGGTTGGAAATATCCTCTCTGTAAATAATGTAGGGGTAGCTAGAATACTGGAAATTAAAACAAACAAGGAGAAGATACAGGAAGGGGAAATGGCGTAAGTTTGACTATATTAGCAATGCTGATGGAATGGTGAAGGGTAGAATACTGTTGTTATGGAGGAAAGGAGAATATGAAGTAAAAGTATTGAAAGTAGAGGAACAACATATATATTGTCGGATCAAGGAATATGCAACCAGGAAGGAGTTTACTCTCACACTGGTTTGTCCTGAGTATAATGCAGAAAGAAGAGATCAACTCTGGAATGAGTTAAGAGCAATTGGAAATCAGGTCAATGGTTCCTGGATCATGGTTGGTGATTTCAATTGTATCCTCAAACTAGAAGAAAGGATGGGTGGTAATAATGAAACGAATACTGATAGTGAAGAATTCAGTACTATGCTGGGTGGAAATGAATTGTGGGAATTACTGACACATGGAAGTGGTTTCACTTGGTCAAAGAAGCAAATGGAAGAAGGCAGAATAGTGTCAAAGTTGGATAGAACATTCATCAATGAAAGTTTGCTGCAGCAGTATCCTAATGCATATACTACTGTATTGCCAGCAGGAATCTTTGATTATAATGCACTTCTAGTAAGATGGGGAGAAGAAGTAAAGCATCTGAAAAGGATATTAAAATTTTTTAATATGTGGTTACAACATCCTGATTGTGAAAAACTGGTGGAAGAGGTTTGGAAGCAAGATGTTAGTGGCACTTATCAATACAAGCTGGTGCAAAAATAAAAGAGTTTGATGCCAAGGCTAAGAGAACTAAACAGACAGGAATTCTCATGTATAGAAGAACATGAGCAGGAATGTCAGCTAAAATTGAGTCTAATCTAGGAGAAACTAAGGAATAATCCAAGAGATGAGATTTTACAACAAGCAGAGAAGGAGGCTATAGAGGCATATACTACCAAGAACGAAGCAGTAATGAGTTATTGGGCTCAAAAATTGAAAGAAAGCTGGGTAAATGAAGGTGATATGAACACTAGTTACTTTCATGCAGCAATTAAACAGAAGAGTATCAGGAACAAAATCAGAATGTAAACCGTGGAAAAATTGTTGTAGAATGGAAGGATGTAGAGGATCATTTTGTGAACTATTATCAAGGATTGTTGGGACCACAGGTGGCAAGAACATCAGCTTCTAGAGAAGATTTCAACTCAGGGATTAAACTGACTGTAAATCAACAGATTCTCCTGACTAAAAGTTTCACTAAAGTTGATGTGCAAGAATCCAGATTGATGTTAATAAGAGCCTTGGCCCAGATGGATACAATAGTGGCTTTTATAGGAAAATGGGGAAGATCATTGGTGAAGATTTCAGTAATGTAGTGTTTGAGTTCTTCCAAACAGGTAAACTTCGGAAACAGATGAACTCTACCATCATTTCCTTGATCCCAAAGAATGATTGTCCTAATGATGCCACTAAGTATAGGCCAATCTCCTATTGTAACACCTTTTACAAATGTATCTCCAAAATGCTTTGTAAAAGGTTGAGTTCAGTTCTACCTGAACTGGTTGATCAGAACCAAGGAGCATTTGTTCAAGGGAGGTTAATCTTGCATAACATACTGCTTGCTAAAGAATTGATCAGGTTGTGTTACAGGAAGAATGTAGTGCCAAGTTTCTTGATGAAAGTAGATTTTGAAAAAGCATATAATTCAATTCATTGGGAATTCATAGAGGAGATGATGATTGAATATGGTTTTCCAGCTAGATCTATACAGTGGGTGATGATAGGTGTTACCACTCGTTCATACTCTCTAAATATGAATGGTGCAAGCACAAGGTTATTCTATGGCAAGAGAGGATTGATCAGGTTGTGTAAGAGGAAGAATGTAGTGCCAAGTTGCTTGATGAAAGTAGATTTGAAAAAAGCATATAATTCAGTTCATTGGGAACTCATGGAGGAGATGATGATTGAATATGGTTTTCCAGCTAGATTTATACAGTGGGTGATGATAGGTGTTACCACTTGTTCATACTCTCTAAATATGAATGGTGCAAGCACAGGGTTCTTCTATGGCAAGAGAGGATTGAGACAAGGAGATCCAATATCTCCTTTGCTGTTTGTTTTGGTCATGGAATACCTTACAAGATTGCTAAAAATGGAGTCACAAAAGACAGGGTTTAAGTGGCATCCTTACTGTGAAAAGATGGGCATCACCTCACTTAGCTTTGCAGATGATCTCCTCATCTTTTGTGGAGCTGACATAAGGACAGTGGGAAGGATAAAAGAGGTATTTAACTAATTTGCTGGAATAACTGAACTTCAAATCAACCTCCACAAGTCCAACATTTACTTTGGAGGCCAAGTGGACCAAGTACATGAGCGAATCCAAAGCATTATGGGGTTTGAGGTGGGGAACTTCCCTATGAAGTACCTTGGACTGCCAATCTCACCAACAGCCTGGTCCAAATCTGACTGTCAACTACTGGTAGATAAGATAACTGCAAGGATTAAGTGTTGGTCTTCTAGGCATTTGTCATATGCTGGAAGAACAGTACTAATCAATGCAGTCTTGATGAGTTTGCATACCTATTTGTCTAGTATCTTCCTGATCCCTCAATCAGTGAACCAGCAAATCACTACAAAATGCAGGAAATTCTTATGGGGAGAAGGAAAATGGTAAATGCTGGCCACTAGTGTCCTGAAATGATGTATGTTGCAGTAAATTAGAAGGTGGATTGCGTGTGAAGGAACCTGGACTATGGAACAAAACTTTGCTTGGTAAACAACTGTGGGACCTAGAAATGAAAAAGGACAGTCTGTAGATCAAATGGATGCATCCATACTTCTTAAAAAATAAATCCATCTGGAACTACCAGCCACCAAAAGATAGCTGTTGGCACTGGAAAAAGCTGATGAGAGTAAAAGATCAGCTGAAACTTGGTGTAACAAATGGGAAATGATGAAGAACAAGGGCAAGAAGTATACCACAGGATCAGGTTATACATGGTTAATGGGACCAAAAGAGAAGAATAGAGCAGCAGCAGTAAACTGGTGCAAGCTCTCCATACCAAAGCACAGTTTCCTGAGCTGGTTAGTATGGAAGGGGAGGATTTTAACAGTTGATCGACTGCTAAAAATGAAGATTCAAATAACTGACAAGCGATGTGTATTATGCAAGCAAGATGAGGAAAGTTCGAAATATCTTTATTTTGAATGTGCATACTCAGCAGAAATCATGCAGGAGTTGAGACCCTGGATGAGAATTCATAGCAGCATTGCATCCTTAAACTTGAATAGAGTTTTGAAAATCTGGAAGTTTAAAAAGCTGAAAAGGAAAGCGTTCTTAGCAGGATTGAATTCGATCATCTACCATATATGGACTGAGAGGAATACCAGGAAGTTTGGAAGCAAGGTGGTGGCAACAAAGGAGAGATGGTTGTTTGTGAAGAATGAGCTTATTTGAAGGATCAAAAAGCTGTATAGAAATGGTAGTGGTGATGACATAAGGTTCCTAAACATGTTAGGAATTCAAAAGTAAGCTGGAATGTTGTAAATCTTGTAAATATTCTGTTTTGAAAAAAATGAAATCTTAACCGTTTAACCAAAAAAAAAAAAAAACTACTGCAAATCAAGTCAGCAACAATTTTACATTTTTTTTATTTTTTTGTTTGCATGGAAATGACTATATCATAGTTATTTGGGTTGTTTCATGGTTGAAAATAAATTAAAAATAAACTAAAAATTTTAACCCAAAAAAAATAATAAAAATCCAAAGAAAAAAAAATGAAAAGGTAATCAAATGATGAAAACTAGCAAGGAAATACATCTTTTATGATACATAGAAGTTAATGGATGGAGGAATTCTTAAAAGCATTAAAAAGAAAAAAAAAAAAGAAAACAGGAAAAGAAAAGTAAAGGTAGTAGAAACCATCAAGCATTAACTACTTCAATGTCATCTCTCTTGACAATGCCCGCATGAAAAAGCAAAGCCCACAAGTGCGATACGAACTCGCCTCCTTGAGCCAAATATTCAGCATGAGCAGAAATATCATCTGATGGGGCTACAAACAATAACATTTCCGTCCAGAAATCAGCCAATATTTTCCACATCCTCTCTTCATCATCTCCAACTTCTTCAAACAACAACTTGGCGACCCTTGATCCGGCTTCTAGGACAGTCCTGTTCTCCATTGGCTTTTCTATATCAGCCAACGCCATAATTTTTTTGTGTTTACTATCCATGGACTTATAACATCCTTTGAGAAACTTTTCTGCCTCTTTCACTGTCTCCTTAAATGAGCATTCTGTAATATAGGAATGATCAGGTAATAACCTAGGAGCGAATACAACCAAGTGGGCACAATATTTGGACAATGTTGTGGAGACATGGAAATTCACTCCTAATCTTCTTGCATATCGAAACTCACAGAGACTTGTGGCCAAGTGCCACGCCATGATTACTTTAGTGGTAGTATCATATTGGCAAGCCGAAAACAACTCTTCATTCCTCACGTCATTATCACGTAACGATTCTAATCCAGTAGTTAATCGATGATCCTTTCTCTTTATCCAAGCTAAAACAGCCCTTTGAATCTTAGGAGACAATTTGACGAAAGTGTTTCCTGTGCATCCCTTCCCTGGATTTTTCAAAAGGATGAGATTTGAGGTGATGCGATTGTACAACCATATCGGAGGATTCCGATGAAATGAATCTAAGAAGGAATATTGGCCGAGTTGCCTGCCCCAAAGTTTTTGGCTTGGAATACTGCATATAACTCTTGCAAAAAACTCACATAAACAATTATCTCCCCTAGATTGTTTCCCGACGTATTTGCATAGAATCAACAATTTTCCCCAGTATGAGATAACGAAAAGGAGAAGTTGTAGAATTTCTAATGAAACAATAACTCCTGTAATAATTATAGTGGCAAGCTTATATTCCTGCAATCTGGATTTAATGGTTTCATATTTCACGTCTCGAGAGAATGAAGAGACATAAAAAGGATATTGCATCAAAAGAAACACGAGGAGCACAGAACTTCCAGCAACAATCAAGAAAGATAGGAATAACTTTTTCCATGGTTTTGTGAAGACGAATGCATATTTTGTATAGAAACGGTCATATAGGAATCCAAGTTCTATTTCAATCACGCGAAATGGTCTTTCGTGGTTTTCAACATTTTGGAGAAGCCCTTCACGGACCAATTCCCTTTGTTTCTCGAGAGACTGTTGAGGTAGAGAAAATCCTGCAAAGTGGCAACATAGAAGGCTGTAAAATGCATAAGAGAGACATATATCCTTTAACTTTGAATCTGGATCTCCACCAGTTGGGCTCAGAAGCTTCCCACTGCAACTCCAAACCTTCTCAACCGTAATCACTTTGACGGACCCAATGTTTACCGCCTCCTCCTTCTTCCGAGTTGAAAAGCCATTAATTCCAAAATTGGATTTTTTCTCGCAAGTCACAAGATAGTGGTAACCTCTTGTATGTTTAGGATCACCTTGTAACGCCGGACCTAATTCGTGCTCGTCACTCATGAAATCTACAACAGATTTGGTTCCTGTTATGAGACCTTCCTTGCTCGCGAACTTAAGGGCTTCCATTCTTTCTGTTATCTTCCAAGAACATGCGCAAATCATAATGTAACTTGTCACATTGAATCCGACATATTTGAAAAGATACATGTTCTTTCCAACCACCCACCCCAACCAGAACATCTGGAGTAGAACTTCGAAATAGGTTCTCTTCCATTGTTCATTATCTTCGAGACTATATGCCGAAATACTATAAGGGTTTCCGTAGAGTAAAACCACAAATATTGCCCATATAGGGTAAAATATATTATAATTCGGGGAGTTTATTTGACCAATGATGTTGATGATCAAGGTGAAAGAAAAGACAAAAGCTCCCACTATTGAGTAACGCAGAAATGCATTAGTGGAACTACGCCTTAATGACCCAAAAACTACAAGGAAGGAAACCATGGCTGATACAATATACATGAATATCTCAACCTGCTTTATCTTACCGATTGGACCCGAAAATTGATCTATTACTTCAGTTATATTTACCTGCGCTGTACCCCTTTCCATTTCTATGGGAAAACTTAAGGGAACCTAAGTTTGAAACTTACGGGAAACTTCAAGATTTTAGAAAAAAACAAGAAGAAAAATGAAGCAATAACCAAAACTTATCGAACAATCAAAAGGCTTAGGAAGATCACGAAGATAAAAAGATTGAGGGAACCAAATGACAAGAAAACCGAGCGATACTGAAGGGAGCGCGCGTGCTAGAGAAAATTATAGTAGAACAGAAGTTGTTATGAAATTTTATGGAGAAGTTGAGAGGAAAAGATAAAAGAAAGTGCATATAGTTAGATGTTTAGGCTATTAATTGGTGTATATAGGAGCGTTTATATGAAGCAAGAGTGTGGGAGCCAACTAGTTTCTGACCAAGGAATTCATATCATAAAGTTTTGAGATGATGATAAAAGAAAGTTCATAGAATGACAGATATTAGTACACGTGGTAAAGTCAAATTGTGATTTCAACCTCAAACGTGGGATCTTATACAAGCAATTTCGAAAAATCCAAAACAATGAAAAACTTGTTCAATTTATAAGTTTAGGTATAGCTAGTGTTTAATCTCATTGTTAAAAGAATATCAACAAAAAAAATTATTTAAATCAAACCTAAACAGTAATAAATATAATGCGGTTGCTAACTATACCATGCATTTGTGTCGGCGAAATCGAGTATTCAAATCAAACCGTGCAGTTTCTTTTTATTTTTCTTTGCTTATTTTAGTGACATACTTTATCTGACACAAGACGTGAGTCTATTTATTGAACTATAATATTATAACAAATCAAACTTTGTTTTTTTTCTTTTCAAGGATGGGATGAGTGTGTAAAAGTTTATAAATGCTATTTCAGAAAGTGTAAAAATTGGCAAATTCGCAAGATTTGAACTCGAGAATTTCACTTAGGAACATCAGATTCCTCGGGTCAATTAGTCCAACACGTAACCACTAATACTGTGTCCAAAATATCATAAATCTAGCTTGAATATCTAGTCATTATGCTGAATGAGGAAGGGTTATTTCTTTGTCACAAGCTAAAACACACCAAATTATACGTCTATCTTATCCCAAAATATCCCTGACTAATCCAATCAAAACTTACCAACGAATCCATGAAAATGAGTATATCGTAATTTAAGACGGAACAAACTCTTTGATATTGATCAATCGTGGGTTCTTCGAAAATATAATCCGCCTAGAAGCAAGATGGAATAAATAAAATGATCTGCATTTTTATTCAAAGGAAAGAAATTCTTCATGCATCGAATGAGATTTGAAAGGAGTTTACAATTTCGAGAACTTTTTTCCTATAAAACTAAAGATTTCCTGTTCACATTACTTAACAGAGCGGTAACTTACTTTTACTTATGAAAAGAGTAATAATATTCTTCTTTACTATTTTAACTCTATTTATAACTCTACTTATATAACTATTTTAATATACTGCCAATAAAGATAGCTATAAAAGTAAAGTGTCAATTAAGATAGCCATGTACGTAGAGTTATAAATAGAGTTAAAATAGTAAAGAAGAATATCATTATTCTTCACACTAAATGTCTTTATACTCTAACTTTGATGTTAAAAATTTTCAAATATTATATTTTAAATCTTAATACCTTTATTCAAAAAAAATAGTCTACATTGAATTTGCAAATTTGTACTAAAACTAATACAAAATTAAAAATTCAATATGGACTTTTTTTTAGGACGGAGAGAGTATTTTGATAGTTAAAAATTTTATTGTTTGGTGATAATTTTATTATATAGGTTATTTTATTTTTTAAAAAAATTTAATTGAAAGAGTGTCAAATTTTCCAATTTAATTTTAGTAATGACTAAAATGAATATTTTTTAAAAAGATAAATATAAATTATAATATGGTTCTTATTTTAAAGATCTCAACAAGCCCTTCAATATGATATAGATTTCATAACACTATTTATTATTATATAGGCTTAATCATATATCAAATCATGTATTTAGAGTAAAGTAAAAAATAATAGTAAACAAAAATGGAGTATAATATGGGTCTTTTGGATTTGGAGACTTTTTAAGGTTGCTAAATGCACGTTGTCGGTACGCTATAGAAAATCGCTCTTTTAGTTCATGATATTGTTCCAGTAATTTTTTTTTCTTTTTTGTATTTCTAAACTTAATATAGAATGTGTTGGGGATTTATCCGGAGGAGAAAATCCGACATGGAGCCCAATAAGTAAGATAAGACCTATCTGAACTCAAAAGCTCAAACTAATGGGTTCTGAGACCAGCTTACTTATTAGCTGATTTACCTGTCCTCATGCATCCGATGTGGGATTCATAATCCTTGTCACATGACCCTCAACATTCTCCCCCGTCATGGACAATCTCCACACCAGGCTTCCAAATTATCTTGACAAGCCCAAATCTGTACCCCACCTGAGTAACTGGGCCGCCCATCCCTACGCTTCCGTTCGTAGTGGGCATTTGACTGCCTGGGTTTAGTCAGATCAACCGAGATAATTTGGGTTAAATCACCCACCCACTTGGCCCAACCTGGGCTCTGATACCACTGTTGGGGATTTATCCGGAGGAAAAAACCCGATATGGAGCCCAATAAGTAAGATAAGACCCATTTGAACTCAAAACCTCAAGCTAATGGGTTCTGAGACCAGTTTACTTATTAACTGATTCACATGTACTCATGCCTCCGATGTGGGATTCATAATTCTTGTCACAATGACCCTCAACAGAATGTAAGTAAACGAAGCGTATATTCTCGTTGGTCTAACATTGTATATCTTCTGTATTAAATTTGATTCTATAACATTATTGCAAGGCACAGGATATGCAGTTTTCTCGAACTAAAAAGAAAAAAGGAAGAAATCAAAATAGGAAACCATGTTCACATAATTATTTAGCAATCTGGATGTCATGCTGAAGCCATTTCGTAAAATGTGGGTACTTTGCCCGTTTCTGGAAAAAACCAAGAAATGCAATCAGTGGTCATTAATTAGACGGTGGATTTCAGTTGATGCAGGGCAGTGGGGGACTATCCTTGCAAATTCTTTCTGCTCATCAGATATGGCTGTTGTAAAAACTAACAATGTCGAATATAAAAGTTTGCAAATGAAAGTTCAGGTGAGTGAATCGTGATCTGGGTACGAACTATCTTAAATTCTTTTCGAGCTCCTATCCTCACTTTACAATTCAATGAGAAGATTTAGACAATTTTAAGAACGGCGAAGCCAGAGTGTAAATTCACTGGGACACATTATGTTCTTATACTCAGGTAAATTAAACAAAAATGGTAATATGTTGGATGCGTTTCAAAAAATTGATCACTTTTTAACATATATAATTTCAAATTAACTTTGTCCACTTCACATTTTTATGGGATCGAAAATAAACTATTTTTAAGGGTGGGAGGACTAATACAATTACATACTCTCCATGTCCCAAAATTATTGTCCAGTTTACATTTTCAGTTTAAGTACAATTTGAATTAGAAATGAAAATTCAAATTAGACAATAATTTCGGAACAGAGGGAGTACATGGAAATAAGATAAAACACACAGTATTCATAAACTAAACATCTCAATAAAAGACAGGTTAAATTTACAAATTACAAATTCCTCCGTCTTCTTGATACTAATAAACTCATATATTAAACATATTTTTGTCTTCTAATACTTATAAATCTCCGGAATTGTACAAATTAATTACAAAACATGGAATTTGGTACTCATAGATGATGAGTTGGGGCCAAGCAAAAAATTACAAAAAGGACAGATGAAACCAAATGTTGGGATTTTGATAACAAATAATGAAATTAACCAAGTGGTGGACTAGCACTAGCCCTAAGGGAATTGGGAAGACGATCGCAGGAACTGCTTTTCTACAGGTTAGGGCAGTGCTGCTCGTGTTTTACAAAGACAGGAAATATCAGCAATGTATATATACACAAGGGAATTCCGGAATGTTGGGCCCGGATTCCCCTCAATTGGACCAGCAACAACAAAAAAGAAATAAAACAAAATAATCAAATATGAAAATCAAGTCCAATTTGGTTTTATTTTTGGGTTTGGCCCTTGGCTATATAATCCCATGGTCCTTGATGGTTTTTGGCCGTGAGTTCAGGCAACGAAAAAGGAGCAGCCACGCAAACCTTTTTTTGTGCGAGAGAAATATGGGAAAGAAAATTAGGGTTTTGAGATTTTGGTGTTATGAGAAGAAAGTTTCACTTTGTGGCTTTGATCGGGTAACGTAACAGAATCAGTTATTGGTACAAGTTTGTATGTGTGTTCCTCTTAATAAGATCTTCAATTCTTCCGGTCGGTTTAACTATCTTTTGGTGAGATTCTTCTAATCCTACTTTGTGTGTGTGTGGAAGAGTATTGTTGTAATCCATATTTGGGTGAAGTCCTGTGTATCCACCGGTTGGCGAAAACTGTTTTCCATTATTGTGATAGTAGAGATTTGACTGTTATTACAGTCCCATGGTTTTTCTCGATTGGGTTTTCTATGTAAATCTATGTGCCTACTTTATCAGTTCTTGAATTATTTTACTTTTTTAGTTGGATTGGTTGGTTGTTCTATTTTATTTGTAGTAGGAAAGGAGTTTTTCTTGGCGTTTGCTTCCGTAGTCTGTTGAGTTTATGCCCTTTCCGCCACAACAGTGGTATCAGAGCTACGGTTCAATAGTTGAGGTGTTAGACCAATAAAATGGAAGGGTCATCGGCTGCTGGTACGATGATTAAATTGAATTTATCAAATTATCATATGTGGAAGCCTAGAATGAAAAACTTATTGTATTACAAAGATTTGTTTGATCCTGTTCTAGGGGATGAAGGTAGGCCAAGTGATATGACAGATAAAAAGTAGGCTCATATGTACAAAAAGACTGTTGGTAATATTTGACTGTGGATTGATCAAAGTGTATTTTATCACTTTTCAAGAGAAACAAAAGCTGATGAACTTTGGGAGAAAATCTAGAATATGTACTGGAAGAAGGACGACATCAATACGCCATC